GTGTGTGTGTGTGTGTGTGTGTGTGTGTGTGTGTGTGTGAGGGTGTGTGAGTGTGAGAGTGTGTGAGTGTGTGAGTGTGTGAGTGTGTGAGTGTGTGAGTGTGTGAGTGTGTGAGTGAGTGAGTGAGTGAGTGAGTGAGTGAGTGAGTGAGTGAGTGAGTGAGTGAGTGAGTGAGTGAGTGAGTGAGTGAGTGAGTGAGTGAGTGAGTGAGTGAGTGAGTGAGTGAGTGAGTGAGTGAGTGAGTGAGTGAGTGAGTGTGTGAGTGAGTGAGTGTGTGAGTGAGTGAGTGAGTGAGTGAGTGAGTGAGAGCCGTACACAAGGCAAGGCCCCCGGTGCACTACCATTTAGCACATGGGGCAGAATCACACACAACCCAAAGGTCACGCGCCCGTCTCTCAGTCCCCCTTCATCCAGGATTAGTAGCTTCTCACGCTGTTCCTCTAAGGTCAGCAAAGACCTCGCATGTGTTTAGTAAAACCAGCAGGACTGCTTTGAACAAGAAAACATCCATGTCCACTCTTACCTTTATTAATCAAATCTGACAGCATGATAGTAACTGTAGTCCGTCGTACTAATAAGAAATGTTTCCTGTATTTATTTGTCATTTCAGATGAATTGTGATGTATTTTTTTGCTGTAACTTTCTTTAGATTAATCTGGAATTTGTTGTAGCCATTAGTGTTTGACATTAAAATTATATAATTTGTCTCTACTGTACAATATTGTTGCAAATGTGCTTCATTATTCCTATATGGAGACCAACTAGCAAGCATCAGTATGGAAATATGCAAAATTTGTTAGTCTGCTCCAGGCTTTCACCTGCTGGTTGAGTATTAGTCTATAAGAAAGAAGATAATAGCTGTGTACTAATAGTACAATTCATTTCTGTTAGTTTATCATGTTTTTATGTGAGGATTCCTTTGTATGTTTTCATAAATTTTTATTGCCATACACTCCGGCTCAGTTCCAAAAACTTGGTGAGTTGTTTTGATGTCTAATGCATACATAGGAAGTTGACGTCCAAGGCAGCATCACTAACTGAAATTAACCTCATAAATGACTGATTCGAAACCCTCTACATAGTCAGCAACTTTGAACACATAAGAGACCAACTTCACAATTGGTTTGGAAAAAGTTAGCTGTTAGATTGTTGCTAATCTAATTACAATTTGTTAAGCAATTATTCAATGTTAGCAAATCAGTCATATCAACATATTACTTTGTCATCTTGGATACATTTTTTTATAAAAAGGTAAGCTGTTAACGCTAATCTAATGGCAATGTTTTAAGCATAAAGTCTAATAATCGATTTTAACGAATCAGTTATATTAGCCATCAGCATTTCATTTTGTTTGCCA